GCCATCATGTTTCAGTGGGGAACGAGAGTTTCTGATCCAACAAGGAAAAATACTCCCTCCAAGCTCCTCAAAAGAAGGGGCTGGAGGAAATTAAGTCTGAGACCGCCATAGCAGAACCAAAGAGCAGACAGGCTGTTGGCACGGGAACCCTCTCCCTCCTCACAAAGAAGGACCTGGGCTGACCTGGTGCAATTTGCATGAATATGAGAAACACAGCCTTCCACCTGCTTCTCAGCGTAGCCTTTATCCTGCTATGGCCTCTGTGTTCCTCAGTGATGAGAGATGACACTTCCTTAGACAGGGATGATTCTTAAGGTTAATTGAAAGTGGCCTTTCTCGTAATCATCTGCTGCACTGAATTATTAATCACCTGCAGGCATTTGCAGGTCTTTAAACTCTTGGACTTCCTGCAGCCCTCCTTGGAAGTGCTTTTGCCATGGAAATATAACTTCCGCTTGGCCATGAAAGACAGAATCCATATCTGCTGCTGTTTCCAGGCTTCCCAGCTCCAGAGACACAAGGAAGAACAAGGTCTGAAAACAGGAAGCAGAACCAGAGCTGCTGCCAGACCCTGGATGCCTTTCTGTTCTGGGGAGCTGGCTCCAGGCCAGCCAGGTCTCAGAACCCCCGGGGCAGTGGATGGAGGGGAGGCTGCCCAAAGTGCCTGTGGCTCTTTGCCTGGTTCATGGTCAGGGCCACAGGAGAGGGTCTCCTGGATCCTTGCCCTACAGCTGATCACTGGTGAAGAAGGACTGAGGGAGCCAGGTGCCAGGCCTAGCTCCACCACTTAGTGGGTGAGCCAGGAAGCCTCTCTGATTCAGTTTCCTTGTCTGAGGAGGTGGTCATGACCCTGCAGGGCAGACCTGAGGCAGGGCTCCATGGGATCGTGTACATCAAGCCTGCATCGCAATGCTCAGAACATCAGGAGCAGCAAGAAAGGTGAGCTCCGTCCTGCCACCTGCTCTCATCTTCTGGTGGAGGAAGATTGACTCAAAATTTAGTGGGCTGGCTGGCTATGTAAGGATTTTGCAGATAGAGCTGGCAATGTGATTTTGCAGACCCCAGAAGGTGGTCTAAAGGACCAGGACAGGGAGCTCCTGTTGGGCCCTAAATTGTGAGCCCAGGATGTGTATGATGCATGGACAACGTGGGCAGAAGCTGGGGCAGCTCATCCCCATGGCACAAGCCCTTCATCTGCCATTCAGCACAGCCTCAGCCCTGGAAGTGGATACTGGGGATGCCAAGCTGAAGAAGACATGGCCCCCTGCCTTCATGAAGGCCCTGGCTTGCCAGGAAGAGTGGGGCATCAGTCTCAGGCACAGAGTCCCATATTCAGCATGGTAGCTGCAAGGACCATGAGGACAAGGAGGGGATGATGAAGGGTTTCACAGAAGACAAGATGCTGGGGATTCATGTTGAAACATGAGCAGTGGAGAAAGGCAGGTGGGAGGGGCACTGAGTATTTCAGAAAGGGAGAGAGCAGCATGGTGGGAGAGCCCAGTGCATAAGCAGAGCCGTGGAAGTAGCTGCACCAGTCTGGGCACAAGCACTGCAGAGAGATGGGGGGTGGGGGGATGAAAATGGGAGGGGAGCCTGGAAGACACCAGCTGGGAAGGGGGTACAGCATGGAATCTGAAGAGCTGAGAGGAGGCCCATGCAGAGCTCCAGATGAGAAGTGATGGAGGGCTGGGCAAGGTTTTTGCCGTGATGGAGATGGACGGAGGAAGAAGAGTTGTCAGGACTTGGCGACACAGAGAAAGATGGGGACTTTGGAAAAGCACAGCATGGGGGCTGAGAGATGGCAGCTCTGGGCCTGGCACTCAGGAAGTGCCAGAAGGGATTCCTTTTTCAAAAAACATCCTACTACCCAACCCCACCCCCAGAAGAGCCTGAGTACAGCTTAGTCCCAATCATGGAGGCAGCTGATATGGGTGGCATGCCATGCCCCATTGGGGTGGGCAGGTGGGGGTGCAGGGCAGCTGGGGGAAGGGGTCAGGATAGCTGAAGGGTTCCATGTAGGGGTTCCCTGAGCCTTGCTAGCTGCCTGAGTCCAGTGTTGAGGCACACTGAGCTCTAAACAGAGGAAGGGGAAATGTAAGCCACCCCTCCCAGGGTACCGCATGGACAACATGGTTCACACAATGGTCCCAGAGACATCACGTCCTCACCCCCAACCCTGTGACTGCACCGCAAAAGGGGCTTTGCAGGTGTGATTAATCTGATGAGCCTCGTGTAGTCACAGAGGTCCTTACAAGAGGGAGGCAGAAATAGTTGATGTGAAATGGCTCGGAGCAGGAGAGGTTAGAAAAGGCAACAAAAGCCAAAACTGAGAAATGGGTTCTAATTAAACTAAAGAGCTTCTGCACAGCAAAAGAAACTAACATCAGAGTGAACAGACAACCTACAGAATGGGCGAAATTGTGCAATCTATCACTCTGGGTCATCAGAATCATACAAAGAATTCAACACCAAATTTCCAACAGAAATCAACAACGCCATCAAAAAGTGGGAACAAGGATTATGAACGGACACTTCTCAAAAGAAGACATTTATGCAGCCAACAGACACATGAAAAAATGCTCCATCTTATCACTGGCCTCAGAAAATGCAAATCAAACCACAATGGAGTATACCATCTCCACACCAGTTAGAATGGCAATCACTTAAAAAATCAGGAAACAACAGGTGCGTGGAGAGGAATATGGAGAAATAAGGGAACACTTTTACACTGTGGTGGGACTGTAAACTGGTTCAACCATGTGGAAGGCATGTGTGGCTATTCCTCAAGGATCTAGAATTCTAGAAATACCATTTGACCCAGCCATCCCATTACTGGGGTAATATACCCCAAAGGATTGTAAATCAATGCCTGCTATACAAAGACCACATGCACACATAATGTCTTATTGTGGCATACTATTCACAATAGCAAACGACTTAAGAACCAACCCAAGTCGCATCAATGATAGACTGGATTAAGGAAAAGTGGCCACATGTAACACCCAATGGAATACTATGCGCCATAAAAAATGAACTGAGCTTCAATGTCCTTTGTAAGGCGACATGAGCATGAAACTGGAAACCATCATTCCTGCGAGCAAACTACCACACAGGACAGAAAACCCAAACACACTGCATGTTTCTCTTCATATGTGGCGAATCAAACAACTGAAACCTTGGACACAGGGTGGGAACACCAACACACCGGGGCCCGTCCTTAAAAAAAAAAAAAAAAGCCTGTGCTGCCAGCTTTCCAGCTTTGAAGACAAAGGAAAGGGCCACTAGCTGGCAGCCTCTAGGAGCTGGAAACGCTGGGAAACAGCTCCCTTGCCTCCAGAAGGCACAGGCCCTGCCAACCCAGTTTAAATTCCTGACCCCCAGAACTGTGAAATAATAAGCATGTGTCTTAAACTACGCAATCTGGTACTTTGTTGCAGGGGCAACAAGAAGCATGCAGACATCTAACTCAGACCCGAGCAGACCCGAGGTCTTTGGTGGGACCCAGGCCCCATTTCCTGAGACACCTGCCCCCACGGTGACCTCAGGAAAGCAGAAGTAGGGGAGGATTCTCCAGACACCCCAGACTCTCCAAGTAGAGTGGAGAGCCAGTTAAGCGCACAGCTGAGGACAGTTACTGGGTGAACAGGCCTGGGTCTCTGCCTTCTCATGCCCCCACCGCCCAGACCCTAGAAGGGGAGTGGCTGGGGCCTCTGCACCTTGGCGCTGAGGGCTCCCAGACCTGGCCCAGTGGGGCATCCCAGTTCACCACCCTCCCCGTCTTAGGTAGGTCAAAGCCCAGGCAGGGTAGAGCCTCATGCACACTGCCCCCTAGAACAGGCACAGGTGATGTGGGGGTGTGGGACCCAGGCTATGACTCTGGACACAACCTTCAAGGTTGTAAAACGAGAAGGCCCATCCCCACAAAACACGCATTCCCCCACAACCCCCACCCCCCCACACACACACTCCCCTGCACCACAGATACACACACTCCTTTCGGTCCCCACTCAGACGCCTCGAGGTTTCAGACGCTCCCCACCAGAGCCTCGGCGGGGGAACCATAGGGCTGCGGCCAGGGCGCGCCGCAGGGTGACCAGAGAGGACGCGCAGCGACCTTACTCTCGCTTTTCCCGCAAGGCGCGTTCGCCATCCTGGACTGGTGGGCATGGGCCCTGCCTTCTAATAATCACCATAATAACAGGCGCTGGGGGTACAGAGGGGACCCAGGAGACGCTAGCCTCCATCCGATAACCACCGTAACAGGGGTTGGGCCTCCCCGCTCCTCCACTCTAAGTGTTCCTTTCACACTTTGTAAGTCACCGGCAGGCCAACCGCCCTTACGAGAGACCCTCACAGACATTAACACAATTGAGAAAACTGAATCCAGAGTGCGGACGTTAAGTTGTCCCAAATCACAGGGCCAGAGAGTGAGGAGCCTGAGTTGGAACCCAGGAGCTTCTGGAACCCGCTCCAGAATCTTGCTCTCGACCTCTCGCGGTTTAGAGCGAACGGGTGAGCGAGCGCCGCATCCCTGCCCAAGGCCGTCAGGCGGGCAGCGCTGGGGCCCGGGACCCGCGCGGACACTCCGCCCGGGGATCTGGGAAGGCTCCCTCGAGCCGGGGTTGGAGCTGCGCCTGGAGGCGCCTCGGCTTGCGGAGGATCTGGGAGGAAGTGCGGAGGATCTGGGAGGAAGGGGGCTCAGTCCTGGCCACCAGGTGTGAGGGGTCAGGCGCGGAGCCCTGTGTCAGACGCGGTGGTTGTAGCTCTGCTCTCTGGGATGGGGGTGGTCCTCTCACCCCACCCTGCCCCAAGCCGCAGGGAACCCCGGGCGCCCCTGGCACTGGTGCCCGGGACCCGCCCTGGCCGGAGCCCTGGGGTTTCCGGGAGCTCACGGTCCCCTCTGCGCCCCTCCACCTCCGGGCCTGGGCCTGGGCCAGGGCTGGGCTGGGGCGGGGCTGCGGCCTCGGGGCGCTGGGTCCCTGCCCCTGCCGTGCACTGCGCGGCTCCCCGCGCCGCAGCTAGGCACCAGCGCCACCACGGACCGCCCCCGCGCCCGCCCGACGGCGCCCCACTGCGCTTTAAGAGCCGCCCTGGCAGCCCAGTCCCAGCCGCCCAGACCGGAGAGACCAGCCTGCGGGAGCAACCCCATGGCGGGTAAGCGAGCCTCGCCCTCCCCAGCCCGGCCCCGGCCCCTCTGCGACCCTTCCAGCACTTGCCTCCGCCCCGCGCTGGGGCGCATCGCCTGCCCTGCCCAGCCTCGGAGCGCTCCTGGAGGGGCGCTGGGATGGAGTGGAAGCTGAGGCCCGCTCCTCGCGGTCAGTTGCGGCTTAGGAGGTGTCGGGGGTCCAGCCTTCTCACCACCCCACCCAGTCCAGATCCCTGAGACCGGGATGCCCCGCGGCCGCACGTCACCCTAAGGGAGCCACCTTTTTGGCCCGCCCCAGGTCCCAGGGGTTGGAACCCAGCGTCTGAGCACCCCTGGGGCGAAGCCTCCTGGGTCCCCCAAATGAGGACATGTGAGGGCCAGCAACAAAGGGGCCTTGCCCCCTCCTCCTCCCCACCCCGTCCACCGCCTCCCACCAACTCCCCTAAGAGCATGCTCACCTTAATAGAGCGCTAGGGAAGGGAGCGGGTGTTAGAGAAGAGCCCAGCCTTGTAGCAGGTTCCAGGGCCCCAGAGGGTAGATGTCTGATTGCAGACCGGGAGGAAGGTACCTTTCAGGGCTTTCCTTTACTGACTGCATCCACACCCCAGCTCCCCTGCTGGCCTCAACAGGAGCCCAGGGGATATGGAGGTTCTGGTGAGGGCAGGTTTGATTTCTACTCGGAAGCGCAAGGAAATGGCTTCTTTAAGCCAGAATCCCAAGGGCAGGGCCAGCTGTTTTCCAAGGAAAACCAGAAGGTTCTGCCCAGGGCCCTGAGACCCTGGGGTAAACAGCTTCTCCTCTGAGAGCTGGCGGAACCCAGCCAGCAGCACCCCTCCTGGAACCCCTCCCCCGCAGACCTGCTCCTATCACTCCTGAGATCAAACCCAGAGGCAGAGTTGCTGCCCCAGTTCTGCCCCAGCAGGCCAGGGCTGTGAGGGAGAGTGGCTTTCCCAGGCAGGCATCACAGCACTGGTGGTCTCTGCCCCCAGAGCAGCTGGCCCTGGTGATTGGGGGCACCATCGGGGGGCTGCTGCTGCTGCTGTTGATCGGGGCAAGCTGCTGTCTGTGGAGAAGGTTCTGTGCCACCCTCACCTATGAGGAGCTGCCTGGGACACCAGCCATGGCCAGCGCAGCCGCCTCCAGTGGACAGCAGGACAGGCCCTGCCAGCCGCATGCTAGGACCCAACTGAGCAGGTGAGGCAGGATGTGGGGCCAAGTGGGCCCCTGGAATTTCCCTCAGGGTGGGGTCAAAAAGGAAAGTTCTGTTTATGGGGGTGCCTCTTCTATGCTGCTTCGGTGCTGGGAGCTATCACAAAGAAACGCCAGAAACCTCACATCAGCTATTAGGCAGGCGTTATGAAATCCATGTTCCAGGTGAGGGAACTGAGGCTTAGTGCACATAAGCAACAGGTCCGGAGAACACGATTAGGAAGTGGCAGAACAGGAATTCAAACCCAGACTGGCTGACACTGTCAGGGGCTGTGTTCCTTCTCCAAATCCCACTGCTGTGTGTGTGTGTTGTGTGTGTGTGTTGTGTGTGTGTTGTGTGTGTGTGTGTGTTGCCTGATATGGGCCCAGAAAATGGTGCCCTGGCCTCCTCCTGGCTCCCGATGGCTTTTCTTCCTCTAGCCCCTGGTGCTCAGCCATGTTGGCTGAGCACTCTAAGACCACACCATTCACTTGCCACCTACATACTGTCTCCCTGACTCTGGACAGGCCACCAGATGTGCCATTCGTGGTGCCCCCTTCCCTTCAAGGCCGAGATTGGGTGCCCCTGCACAGCGGAGAGTGGACCCATGCCCCATGGGACTCCTGCCCAGCATCAGAGCTTCTGCCTCACACCCCCAGTGGCGGCCTTGGTGAGTGTCCCTCCCAGGGCCACCCAGAGGTCAGGGTCTGCTCAGGTGGCCTCATCTGCTTTCACCAGCTTGGCTCCGGAACACAATCTGAACCAGCCAGGGATGACAGGGTTGCCCAGGGACCACTGTTTCTGGGTGCTTTCATTTATGAAGTGCTTGCTGCACCCCATGAGGGTGAGATATGGCCTTGGGTGCTGATTTGGAGTGAGACCTCACCATGACTCTGGGGGGAAGGAATTATCACCCCATTTTACATAGTCACAAACAGGCTGTAAGCAACAGACTGGGATTGGACCCCAGGCATGCCGTGTACAGAACTTGTGCTGGCTCCCACTCTAGGGTGATGGGTTGGTTGAACAAGAGGACAGAATGGTAGGGGCTGCAAGCACAGCTTTCTGCCACCTCTTTGCCCTGAAGATCTACCAAAAGACCATCCCAGGAACCACCCAATAATCACCTTAGCCCTTCTAATTTGAAGAGGAAGAAGAAAGGCAATGCTTTATCACTGAGTCATGCCCTAGACACCATGGAAGGGGGCCAGGCCAGGTGATGGGCACTGTGTCCTTGAAACAGGTCCTGACCTCCAGGGATGGGGGCCGATCCCAGGAGGCAGGACTCTGCTAGGATCCCCAGCCTGGCCATGTAATGCCTTCATGCTGAGAAGTTTCCTGGAGGAGCTGCACCAGAGAGAGGGGATGTGTTTAGCCTGATGAGGAGAGTGGGGCAGATGTGGTCAGGCTAGCTGAGGCTCAGCAGAGAGGGATGGGCCAGGATGGGGTGGGTGCCCAGAACTTGCCACTGTCTGCCGTGCCCCTGCCTTGCCTTCCTCTGGCCTGTCAGCCTTCCCATCCTCTGTTATAGGAGATGCATGTATGGTAGGGGCTATCAACCCAGAGCTGTACAAGTTCCCAGAGGACAAAAGTGAGACGGACTTTCCTGCTGGCTGCCTGGGGCGACTGTGGTTCTCGGTGGAATACGAGCAGGAGGCTGAGCGGCTGCTGGTAGGCTTGATCAAGGCACGGCACCTGCAAGCCCCCTCGGAGACCTGCAGCCCCCTGGTGAAGCTCTACCTGCTGCCCGATGAACGGCGCTTCCTCCAGTCCAAGACCAAACGCAAAACCTCCAACCCGCAGTTTGACGAGCACTTCATCTTCCAGGTACAGCCTCTGGAGAAGGCAGGGTCTGGTGCCCTCCGTGCTGCTGGGAAGGTGCAGACCTGCAGGAGACCTGAGCCTCCTGTACCAGCCAGGGCCCTGCAGCCCCCGGGACCCTTGATGCCACCAGCTCTGCTTTACCTAGCCTGCTAGGTTAAGGCCTATCGGAGCCGATCCCTGATAGAGGGGCAGGGGAGAGACTTGGTGAGTAGTGACCAGAGGCCTGGGCTCCCCTGTCCTGACTGCCTGGAGGAGAGTGGGTGAAAACACAATTTTAGAGCAACTACTGAATGCCAGGCCCTGGCCTATGGGGCTCAGGGGAATTATCCCAAAGGCATGGAGCAGTATGGGGTTTCTGGCAAGTTTATCCAAGGAGGGCAAAAGACGGGCCTTAGCGTGAGTGCAGGAGCTTCCTGTGCTGTAAGAGGCCAGCGCGGGGGCCCAAGTACCCTCCCAGGGTAGGTGTGGTGCCTTGCTGCACTTTGGGCTGGCCGGGTCAGGCTCTGGAAGTGGAGAGGCTGTTGGGGCACCAAGCCAGTTTCACAGGGGCCTGGGAGCCTTAGCAGGTGACTGGGGGCCCTTGGGGAAGTAGCCATCGAGACCTGCCAAGAGGCCTTGGACAAACATGTTCTCAAGAGCTGGGTGGCAAGCTAGCCAAGAGGTGAGGTGCAGCCAGTCAGCTTTCAGGAGCAGTGTGACTGCTGAGGCCAGGGCCATCACTTGTGCCTTCCGCCCTGGCTGAGAGCTGGGAAGAGGGGTGCCCTCAGACCTGGTCCCGGGCTGTCTTTCTGAGGCCAGGGCTGTGAGAATTCAGAGGTGAATCACTCTTCTCCAGACGTCAGAATCCAAGGCTGCAGCCTTGCTGACGTGCGACACGTCATGCTTGCAGGATAATTTTTCTTGGCTCATCACTTACCCACTCTATCTCGCCCCAACTCGATCCAGTCCCTCTGTGCCTCCAGAGGGAAGGGGGAAAGGGAGAAAGGGAAAGAGAAGAAAATCAGTATTAATGGGCCATCTGCTGTAGGTCAGACACTGTGACTGGGGTTTTACAACCAGAGAGGAAGACCCATGACCCCCATTTCACAGGCGAGGAGGCCAAATCTCAGGGAGGGGAGGACTGGTATGCCCAGCTCTGACAGCAGAGACAGGCCAGTGCCCGGGGTCCTGTGCCTTTGCTACAGCGCTGGGTGGTGACGGGGCCACACTCACCGTGCAGCCGTGTCACTCAGTGCTCCGGTTAAACGGCAGATTCCAATTCATGGGTCTGGGCTGGGGCCCAAGATCCTGCATTCCTAACAGGGCTCCAGGTGGTGGTGGACGGATGCTGCAGGTTCTCGGACCACACTCTGTGTAGCAAGGTCCTGGCACCTACCCCCACTTTCCAGGGGTACACAGCTCTGCTGCTAAGAAGGGTCCCCTGAAAATGCCTAGGTTTGGGGTGTGGGTCCCTGGTTGAGACTCCTGTTCTCAAAAGCACCCATGTCCAGACTAACGAGTCACACCATCCCATCCCCTACCACCACTCCTCACCCTGGCCGGTGTCCTTGTCTCCCCTAGGTGTCCAGCAAGACCGTCACCCAGAGGGTGCTGAAGTTCTCCGTCTACCACGTGGACAGGCAGAGGAAGCACCAGCTCCTGGGCCAGGTGCTGTTCCCCTTGAAGAATGAGACCCTGGCGGGGGACTGCCGGCGTGTCATCTGGAGAGACCTGGAGGCTGAGAGCCTGGAGGTAAGGTCGAGGTTACTATGCCTGTGCCACTGAGCATCAGCCGGCAGGTGTGCACAGGGTCCAGCATCTGCTGGCAGCGTCAGCCCTCAGCATCCCGCATACCACCCTGTAACAGTGACTCAGGGAGGAGGGCCTAGGCCCTGAGCAGCGTGGGACAGAGGGGAACAGACCTGCCCCTGGGCAGGGAGGAGCTGCTTGAGGTCCTGTTGTCACACTGGCCATCAGACTCCCTGGAGCAACCTGAAATATCCACATTTGGATTCCCATCTAGGTCAGACAGCTGTGAGAGGTGACACCACAAATGGTCCAGCCCAGGGAAATGTTTCCCCCCGCCCACCACCCCCGGGAAGGCCCCAGCTGGCTCAGACCTGGGTGTGACTCCTTAGCTCTGGTCCACAGGACTGCACAAGCCCCTTAAACTCTCCAGACCACAGTTGCCCCGTCCTTAAAATGGCAGTGGAATTCAAAGGGGACCATGTGAGTGTGTCGCATGGACGGCTGGGAGGAAGCGGGAAGCTCTCTGGGGGTTCTCTGACCCCTTCAGCACCTGCCGGAGTAACAGCGTGGGGTGCTTCCACCTTGGCCTCCCCAGCCCCCCTCGGAGTTTGGCGACCTCCAGTTCTGCCTCAGCTACAACGACTACCTGAGCCGCCTGACAGTGGTTGTGCTGCGTGCCAAGGGCCTCCGGCTCCAGGAGGACAGAGGCATTGTCAGTGAGTTCCTCCCTTTCCTCCTGGGGAAGGTCCCGCCCACTGAACTTACAGCCTGGGGCCACAGTCCAACCTCCCCCCTGACCATCCAGTTTCTGCTTGCATACACCCTATCACGGAGTGCTCACTACCTCACAAGACATGCTCTCCCTCAGTAGACAGTTCTGGTGCAGGAAGCTTCTTCCTATGTTGAACCCAAAGCTGCATCTCCTCGGCCTCCCCCACTAAGGGTTCTAACCCAACCACAATACCAGGCCCTGCCCCTGCTGTTTCCCGAGGCAGCGTCTTGGCTCTTTGAACTGTCCTGTCTGCCTCCACCTCCACCTTCCCATCAGCTACGTGAGTCCAGTTCCTCCAGGGTGAGGCCCGCACCTCCCTCCCCCCAGGGGAAGGGCCCCCGACTCCATGGGCACTGATGCTTGGCCTCCCAGAACACAGGAGCTGCAGGAGGGGAGGCCTTGGCTCACCCCACACGTCCCACCCCATTTGGGCTCACCCCACACATCCCACGCACCCCAGTGAGGTGGTGGCGATCAGTCACCTGTTTGTGTTCACGTCTGGGGTCACCGTAAGCCAGGCAGGATCCAGACCTTCCACTGTGACTCTGACCCTCACCCACCAAATCTTAACTCTCTGTACAAGGTGTTTAAGGGGCCCCAGGGAGCCTGGGGACCCAGTGAGCAGCACCCCAACAGGGAGGGACAGGCATGTGGTGCCAGGCTCTGGTAAACCAGGGCCTGCCGGAGCCATGGGTACTTTCTTGATGCAAAGAGGAAGGAAAAGGAAGGGAGTGGAGCCCCGCCTAGGCTGCAGGGCAGTGCACTCAGCCGGCTTCCTCTGGTCACGCCCGCGGGGCCGCAGCACTGTGTGAGGGGTGGGGCCCTGGCACCTAGCTTGGGCACGTGCCCTCCTTGCCAGACCTCCCACAGGCAGGGGCTCGGCTCCCGCCCGCCTCTGCCAGCCCACTAGTGTTCACTGTTCCCCAGGTGTGTTTGTCAAAGTGTCTCTGATGAACCACAACAAGTTTGTCAAGTGCAAGAAGACTTCAGCTGTGCTGGGCTCCATCAATCCTGTGTACAATGAGACCTTCAGCTTCAAGGCCGATGCCACCGAGCTGGATACCGCTAGCCTCAGCCTGACCGTGGTGCAGAACACGGAAGGGGACAGTAAGACCGCACCCTACCCCGGGCTGCTGGGACGGGGACCACAAGGGGCTGCCGAGTGTTCAGGCAGAGGAAGTGCCTCCTGTCCTGACCTCGGAAGGAGCTGTACGTGCTCCCTCCCTGGTTAAGGAAAGTAGTGCTCAGAGAGGCTGAAATACTTGCCCAAGGACACACAGCTTGCCAGCAGGAGGCCTGGGTTTCATGCCCAGCTTTAGTTCGGTTGAGCTTTGTCTGTGGCACCCTAGAAACAGGTTAACATGGTGGCTTACGTCTGTAATCCCAGCACCTTGGGAGGCCAAGGCGGGTGGATCACTTGAGCTCAGGAGTTCAAGACCAGCCTGGCCAACACGGTGAAACTCCTGTCTCTACTAAAAATACAGTAATTAGCTGGGCATGGTGGCACGTGCTTGTAATCCCAGCCACTTGGGAGGCTGAGGCGGGAGGATCTCTTGAACCCAGGAGGCGAGGCTGCTGAATCTGTCAAAAAAAAAAAAGGACCGGGCACAGTGGCTCACGCCTGTAATCCCAGCCCTCTGGGAGGCCGAGGTAGGCGGATCACGAGGTCAGGAGATCGAGACCATCCTGGCTAACACGGTGAAACCCCGTGTCTACTAAAAATACAAAAAATTAGCTAGGTGTGGTGGCGGGCGCCTGTAGTCCCAGCTACTCGGGAGGCTGAGGCAGGGAAATGGCATGAACCCGGGAAACAGAGGTTCAGCTGAGCCAAGATACACCACTGCACTCCAGCCTGGGCGGACAGAATGAGACTCCGTCTCAAAGAAAGAAAGAAGAGGTTGGCTAGGACACGGGTGGTGCACGCCTATAATCCTACACTTTGGGAGACTGAGAGGAGTGGATCACGAAGTCAAGAGATCAAGACCATCCTGGCCAACCTGCAAAATTCACGTCTCTTACTAAAAATACAAAAGTTAGCTGGTGTGGTGTGCATGGCCTATGAGTCCCACCTACTCGGCGGAGGCTGAGGCAGAGGAATCGCTTGAACCCGTGAGGCAGAGGTTGCAGTGAGCCGAAGATTGTGCACAGCACTCCAGCTGTCGACAGAGCGAGACCCTGTCAAAAAAAAAAAAAGAAAAGAAAAGAAAAGAAAAGACAAAAGAAAGAGGTTAAGCAATGGCCTCTGCTGCCCCCTCCTGGAGCAAATCGCCCGAGAGAGTGGGAGGGAGCAGGGCTGCCACTAGCCCAGGGACCTGGTGCTCTGAACTTCCTCGTGCCCTCTAGATGAGCCTTTGGGGTTCTGGGCGAGTTCTGTCAGCCAGCTCTCCCACACTACCCCACACCGCAGCACCGACTGCCACTCTGGGGAAACAGAGCCATCAGGCCACGGCTGACCAAATGGCCTGGACTTAAGACCCTTCTCCATGGTGGCCAGTGAACGTTACTGCTGAATGTACTTACTCTCTGACGGCCGGCTGAGGCCTTCTTTCTAGAGGGGCTCTTTCCTCCCTCAGTTCTTTGGCATAAGGTAGACTTAATATGGCCCTACAGAAGGGTGTGGGCCAGAGCTGGTGGCCCTCAAAGAGAGAGTCTCTTTCAGGGCTCTCCTTCCTCCCAATCTCCCAGGGGGAGAAGCAGCCCTTCCAGCAGCAGAGCAAAGGCAGGGCCCCTTTGGGGGCTGTCAGCTCCCACTCAGAGAGGAGGGAAGTTACTACTTCCTCCTGGGGAGGAGGAGGGAGGAAGGGAGGTCACTGGGGACGTGACTTCTGTGCTCAGGAACACACCGGTGCTCTCCCTCCCCTGCAGAGAGCCAGCAGCTGGGGCGAGTGGTGGTGGGCCCCTACATGTACACCCGTGGCAGAGAGCTGGAGCACTGGGACGAGATGCTCAGCAAGCCCAAGGAGCTGGTGAAGCGCTGGCACGCGCTCTGCCGCATCACGGAGCCCTGACCCTTCGCCCAGCACCGCGGTTCCGCTTTGGGAGCCGACCGTCCTCGCAGTTGCACGTGACGGTCACAGCCACAAGCATGGACGTTTCATCCAACAGCTCCCTGAGCTGCCAGGCCAGCCCGAGCCAGGAGAACGTGAGTGCTGATGTGCAGGAGAGAAGAGGGGACAAAGAAGCCCCAGCCCAGTCAGCAGCTCTGGCCATACAGCCTTCCAACACACTCCCTCCTCCTTACCCGCGGGGCTGCTTGGGTTCAGAATCCCGGCTCCTGGTCCTCACAGCCCTAATTTGGACCAGAATCTCAGGTGCTCAGAAGAAAGATCTTGTTTAGGGAGGACCCAGCTCTACCTGCTGAATGGATGTGCAGGGTAAACTTGGGTGCCTCCACCGGGAAAAGCTGATGATGTGTTCATGCAGCCGATGACTCTCGCTGCTTTTTCAGCCAGGGTTTCTCTGCCTTCTGCCCAGCAGAAAAAACATACTGCTATGGGGAAAATCACAGGGAGAGCGCTGTGAGCAGCACGCTCAGGCACCAAGTGTCGACATGGCTCACTGTGCTGGGTGAGGGCCTCCCCAAGCATTAGGTCCTCCACGGGGCTGTGTCAAATGCCCTCCCACATTGTGTCAAGTCTGCCTGTGGCCCACCCTCCCCACAGTCCAAAACCACACAGCCCTGGTTCTCCAGCTGTTCTGCTGCTGTTTCTACGCTCTCCCTGATTAACAGCATTCAGTTCCTGGGCTCTCCCTTTGCGCAGGAAATGGTGAAAGCATGTGGCTATGGTATAGCCCACAGGGCTGAGATTGTTGTGTTGCAGAAACAGTTCCGTACTGTAGGTAGGTGTGCTCCGTAAACATATCAGCAGAACCCCTATTTACGTGTGCTGCATGAGCCTATTAGAACACTATCAGCGTTTTGCTGGAGTACGTTCGGGAAAATTGTGGCAAGTGGAGCTGGGCATTGGTGGGCTTATAGCCTCCGTTAATACCCATCGCCTTCTTCTGGAGGCCAAGGCGGTGGGATCATGAGGTCAGGAGATCGAAGACTCCTCCTAAACCTAGCTGAAACGCCCAGTCTCATAACTTCAAAAATTTACATAAAAATTAGCTGGGCATGGTGGTGGGCACACCTGTAGGTCCCAGCTACTTGGTGGGAGCCTGAGGCAGGAGATGACGTGTAGGTAAACCTGGGAGGACAGCGCTTTGCAGAGCCTAGAACCATGCCCTGCACTCCAGCTTTGGGGGCAACAGAGCGGAGACTCCAGCTTCAAAAAAAAAAAAAAATAGAAAAAAGAAAGAAATGGTGCCAAGTGAAATAAGTGGGACAAAAGCAAACACAAAGATATTCATGTCCATAATGAACCACTGCCAGGCAACTCCTTGCTAATTTGCTAGATTGACAGGAAACGGGGAGGTGGAGTTAAAAGGAGGTACATAACTCAGTATAATCATGTCATTCGCCTCTTTGCTAAATGTTGTTTCACTGCGTAAGAACAAGATACTGTCAGGCTCGGTTGCGCAGTGACTCAACGCCTGTAATCCCAGCACTTTGGGAGGTGAGGTGGGTGGATCACCTGGCGGAGGGCGGGAATTTGAGACCACGCCTGGCCCAACATGGTAAAATTCCGTCTGGCTTCTAAAAAATAAAAAAAATTAGCGCAGGGCATGGTGCGCACCGAGTAATCCGAGCTACTTGGGAGGCTGAGGGCAGTACGAAATTCACTTGAACCTGGAGGCGGAGGCTGCAGTACGGGAGACACGCCATTGCACTCAGCCTCCTGACAAAGAAAACCCCCATGGTCAAAAGACAATAAAAGTAAAAAAAAGAAAAAGAAGAAAAAAAACAGGAGAAAAGAGATACGGTTCCATGTTATCTGTTCCAGTTATGCAACAACGTGTTGGCGTGCAGGCTGCACAGTGCCAGGTGCAAATGACACACTGCCTGGTTACAGGTAAACTGGTACAAGCACAAGGGCTGCCCACTAGCTTGAGTGCAACTTCCGGGGAATTGATGGAGTGATTTTAGGTGGGACTTCCTTCTGTAACAAATTTTTACATTCAATAATGGCAACCACCAACAAATCTCAGCCCTGGTGCTTATACCAAGCCACATGTTTTCACCATTTCCTGCGCAAAGGGAGA